TCATATAAATATAATATTGTGAATATATATATATATATATATATATATATATATATATATATATACTGTAATACTATTTGAGATGATTATTTTATACAATATTTCAATATAAGTAAAGATTATTATATGTCATACATTATTTATTTAATATGCATTTAAAAGTATTTTGTAACATGTGCTCTTCTTCAGAGATGCATGAAACAATAATTACTAACCACACCAATACAAAAGGTTTGGATAAAGTACACCATAATACAAAGATAACATAAACAAGAGGAAACATATGATTAACAAACCTCAGCGAAAAATCATATTTCAATTTACTATTGTTATATTTAACTGCATCCGCTACTGTAAATTATGGAATTGAGTTTTGTTGTGTTATCAGTTACAAAATACACTTTTGTCAAAAGCTAAATATTTAAGGAAACAGTGCTGTAATACTCAAAATTCAATCGCTCAGTCAGTAACGGTATCAAGCATTTAAGTTTCAAACGCTTCATTTGAAATATTTTTTAATTCTTGATTATTTTCCACCTTTTCAATTTCACCATTAAGATTTTTCTTCTTCAAAGTAAAAGCATAGATTCCAATAACTAAACACGTTGTCACCACAATAACGACAATTATTGCAATAACACCACCTGATAACCACTGTTGATGATAAAAATATAATTAAAATTATTGACGAAAAACGAAATTTTCATTATATAATTACTAGTCTTCCAGTGAAAAAATATTGTTTTTCGAAGGTGCCTAATGTACCTACATACTGAAGGTATATAAAATCAATAAAATACAAGTGAAATGAATAACAACAACTATTTCAAAAACATGATAACATTTAAAATATATTAAAATTACAACACTATTTACTATTATACGTTCATGAGAAACAAAGCGCCTCTACCAGCTACGAGCCGGAAACTATTGATGACTCTGAATTGGGTCGCAGGAAATGTTTGATGGGTTTATAGAAATTTATAGAAATCTGGATTGTTAGTCAACCTTGGTGAGTCGTTTTATTAATAGGATTGCTCACAATACAAACACAGGTTCTAGATCTTGTGTTTGTATTGCTCACAATACAAACACAAGATCTAGAACCTGGATAACATTATAAAAATATAAGTAAGTCACATAATCATTACTACAGTGTTTGGTAGGCCACCGTAACTATTTATGACCACTATTTTTTAGTACACTAACTTTTTGTAAACGAATGAAATTAAGGCTATTAACAAAACAAAGTGAACAAAACACAGGGACTTGGCGGAAACATTATCCGAGTGTTTTGTATAATTATTTGCACCAACTCCTATCTAGTAATAAAGTCGCTGTAATATTAATGATTTATGTAATTTTAGGATATACAAGATGTCTAATCCAGTAGCCCTAATGAGCTCATAGCAAAGAAAACTTCCAATTTACTATGCCAAATAACTTGTCTAACCTTGTGAAAAAGAAATTGGTCAAATTTGTTTAAAATAACCGTATCATTATTGACATGTCTCAAGACCATAAAACCATCTTTCAAATCTCAACAACTGTGTTAATCTGAGTTAATAAAGAAATTGTGCCTTTTCAATTGTAATGAGACACTTTTATAAACGTCCGATATTTTCTGTTGCGCCCTAAATTTATAATGCCACTCTAGTAACAAGGCAACAAAATGTCATTAAATCGTGTGTGCTGTTTTAACTATCGAGTATCCACACACACGATTAAACCCACTGGAAGAATTGAAACCTCAAATTCGGTTGTGTTTATCTAGAGTTTAACAAAGATCTTCCTACCAAAGTAGCAACAATATGCCAAAAAATATGCCAAAAATGGTTCACCATATTCTACCAGGGATTTTCATGGAATACTTGTTTTAATCACTGTTTGTCTTAAACTACATTAAGAAATTATTTTAAAATAATATGAATTCATTTAATCCATGGTTATAATACGCAACAACGTGGATAAAAACGATCCAAATAATTATATTTACTATTAAAATTGAAAACTGATACTGTAAATGATCTTTCAATAAATTTTATTCAATGAAAACCATTATCTATTTTCTGTTTTAATTGCAATCAGTAAAGATGATTATTAGGATCGTTTTATCCACGTGCTGGTGTAACGTTTAAATACATGATGCTCTCAATTAATTTTGGTCTCAACCTACAAAAAAAGTAATATTTTGTGTATGAACTTACATCTTGGTTTTTCTCTTTATTCGTTTCAATCGGCTCTACGTATTCTGTTGTTACAGTTACTTCTTCTGTGTCTGTAATTCTACTGTCCTAAAAAGCACAATATAATATAACATAAATATACAATGACATGATCTGAAAATCATTCATTCGTTCACCTTTTCGTCAACTGGCCCGCCTCCCCGGCCGTTTGTGAGTCTGTACCTTCGCCCGTTCATCTGTTAATTTATCGATAGTTCATATATTAATATTTATTTGGTTATCTGTCCATTCTTTCGCTCTGTCCGACCGTTCGTTCGTTCATTCATGTGTAGTATTATGTATTTATATTTATTTTTTTTTTACTGGTCCGTGGCATTATTATTAGACCTGACTTCTGAGCACACTATGGTTTAAGTTCAGCAATATCTCCTTAACCATTATAGTTTTAGTACCAAAGATGCTAACATATTTATTGGTTGCAAAGATATTAAAACTCCATAACGAAGTGTAGGAAAAACTTGGTGATAAAGTTTATTCGATTCACAGCAAGCATATTTTTTAGTGGAAAGGCATCTCCCTACCACCAGTGAGTTCCAAGGTATATAGAACCAATATTTTCTCAGATTTAACATATTTATGTTATTAGAGTTTCAATACAAATATATTCTATAAAATAGAAACAGGCATATTCGATAATTGTTAAAAAGTTGACTCTGTATTCCAAGATATGGCTAATTTGCATATGACCGGATCAAAGACGCAACGCATGTGAAGCCACCGAGCAACAAATAGGTCTTAAGCTTTGACTTAAATTTGCAAAGAGAGGTTATGTAATTTAAAAGCTGGTTCCAAAAAAATATAATACATATTTTGTTTTTATTATACCCAGTTAGCATTGGCTATTGTTTTTTTTTTGTGTAATTTGGAAAGGGCGTGTTAAATGTGATTTTGCTGAAACATTTAATAAATATACCGTTGTGCTTGCATCCGTAGTTAAGTGTGGTGTAGTATAGTCCGTTGTAGTACTTAAAACTGATGTCTGCTGAATCTATCAAAAAACATAAACGATGTATTAATACAGGTTAAGAATGATTAGGTTCCTTCTGTGGGTACTAACTAAAAGCATTACCGCAAGACGATTTAGAGTTTATCTCTTCACGTGTTACATTTGTTATAATAAAGTATCTCTTTGAAGATCTCGTCTTGTCGATTAAGGTGCTGAAGAGGGCGTATCACATCGATCTAAGTTTAACGTGTGTGCTTAAAATACTAGTGTTATATTGGCATACCGAAAAGTGCGAAATGTATTGCCTTTAATCGGATTAAAACTTCCAACGTAAGCCTCAAAGTGTCTTGTTGGTTAAGGCTTTTGCATAGAGCAGAAGATCCTGGGTTCCAATTTATATGGAGCCAATTCAAAAAAAGATCAAAGACGCAACGAATGTGAACAGCCACCGAGCAACAAATAGGTCTTAAGCTTTGACTTAAATTTGCTAAGAGAGATAGAAGAAGTTATGTAATTTAGAAGCTGGTTCCAAAAAAAAGGCAGAAGTATAAGTGAAAGAACATTGACGGTAGGTTTTGTAATTTAGAAGCTGGTTCCAAAAAAAGGCAGATGTATAAGATGTGTATAAGAGACAGAATGTACCTACATACTGAAGGTATATAAAATCAATAAAATACAAGTGAAATGAATAACAACAACTATTTCAAAAACATGATAACATTTAAAATATATTAAAATTACAACACTATTTACTATTATACGTTCATGAGAAACAAAGCGCCTCTACCAGCTACGAGGAATCCCGTCGGAGGCATTTTATTACACAATGACTTTAATAGGACTTTATTCGTTGAAAAGCTACAGGGTAGCCTACGATGTTCCATCATGTCTTTAATTAAACACTGTATATGTACCTTTGACTATTTATATTATATTTATTCAACAGTGTTAACGGCTAACTCCCTTCAATATCATATATAATATACGACAGTATTTCTAGCCGTATTGCCAGAGTTATTCGGCCGAACGCCATCTTGAGGCGTAGCATTGTGTAATACAATGTTCCCGACGGTTATTTGGACCTGTTCAACCATGAAGCCTTCGTGGTCTAGTGGTTATGACGCTCGCCTTGTTAGCGAGAGGTCGCAGGTTCGAATCCCGTCGGAGGCATT